CACTCTGTGCACTGAAATTCTGGTCGGTCGTGGCAGTGTGTTTACTGGAGTCCACCTCCGAAAACAAGTTGCTGGCGTTGGTTAATTATGCACGCCACCTATTTGGTCCGTTTGCTCGGTTCATCGGCCCATTAAGTGCTATCAATTACTCAGTCGATACATTTTAGTTAGCAATCAAGTTCCGAATGTTGTTGCTAATGTCCGAAACAGTTAAGGTCATTTGATGGCGAGAAATCACGTTCAATATCAAGCATCTAAAACCCTGTGGGATTTAAGGGGGCTAGTTTGTTGCTTGGAACTTCAGACTTGCTTAATCATTTGGTGATAACAAGTGACCCCGAACTTTGCCTCAATTTGGTTGCCGCAAGAGATTCGTCAACCAAAACAATAAGCTTTACTCTGAGCTTCAAATGATGTAAGGTGGAACAAAAACCAACTGCCAAAAGTTTCCGATTCCCAAACTTTGGGTTGGATTTAAATCATTTGCCACAAGGGTGGCATACCTCACAAAATACCATTTTGAGGTAAAATCATTTAAAGTTCTCCTGCAAAGAGATCCAGCTTTAAAACTATTATCTCACGCAACATAAATTAATACGCAAAAGACATTTTTCAAGCCTTAACCTAAAAATTGGGTTATAATTAGTCTCTTTAAATGAACTTGTAAAAATTTAAAGTAAACACCTGATCAAAAAAACTAATTTCCTAAGAATTTGTGCATCTCGTTTCAAGGAAAATCATTTCTTCTAAATCTGTAAACAAAACTTGATAATTATTTGTCACCACATTAATCCAATCTTATAGTCATATCATATGGCCATTTTATGATTGTTTAGACAAAGGTTTTGAAATTAAGAGGAAGTTATAATGCCCGCTGTTCCTGGGATTGAGTTGTATAAAAATACAAATATTTACACATTCATATTAATGCTTTCCGTTTGTAAGAATCTACCCGTTTGTATAATTTACCATTTGAGATAGGCTGTAATAAAAATCTCTTAGAATTCCCCTTTCTAACAAAATAAACTCTACAACAACAATATTATTTACAAGCATTAATTTAGTTGATTTAGTAAATTACTAATTAAACACAAGCCGATTGGACAGATCTTCGTCGTTGGAAAAGAAAACGCCTCCCTGAACATCATCCAACTTGCGACGCAGAATGCGGAAGTTAACCTCGTTGGAATTCAACGTGCCTGCGGAGATTTTCTAAAGGAACAAAGATCAGTTAGTGGTAACATATAACTCTACTGAATTAATCCCACCTGGAAGCGATTGGAGAGCAGCCAGAGTTCCTCCTGCCCCTCGGGAGTTCGCACCACCTTCATTCCGCTGACGAACTGCAGCTCATCGGACTTGGCCGGCAAATTGCCAAAACTTCGGGGATTGTAGAGCGAATTTACGTTCCACACGAAGAGCTTGATGGGATTGAAGGTGACGCAGTAGACATTGTTCCTGCCATCGATGGCGGAAGCGGCGCACTCGCTCCTCCGCCTGCCCAGCAGGGTGAACTGTTCCGGCAACGCCTCCGGGTTATTGGCCCAGTTCTCCTGGTTGTTGAGAGCACTCAGTGGCACGACGTACTCACTCGCACTGGCCAAGGGATGGAAGTAGAGATTGCGCTTGTCATTGTTGAGTGCAAATAGGCCATCCATCAGGAAGAAGCTCTCGCCAGCAATGGTGTGCTTGCCGTTATCCGGATCGGGGTACATGAAGCGGTTCTCTGCCCTCCAGGAGGTTTGGGCCTGGTGGTCGTAAACCACCAGGCCGTGAAAAGACACATCGGCCACATAGATCATGGTGCGACTGCAAGTTCCCCGGGGTGGAGGATCTTGAACCAGAACGTTTGGAGTAATGAAGAGAGAAGCACTCGGGGTGTAGGTGTTATTCGGAAAGCGGTAGCGATGCAGCAAGCGATCGGTGCTTAGGTCAAATTGCAGCAACTGTGGTGGACAGTGCTGGGTGGTGCCAATTACACCCGAATCGATGACCCACATCTGGTTGCACTCGGTGATCTGAAAGGGACTTAATGAGCTCCTCATATAATCTTGGATTATTACCGACTCACAGCCACTCTGAAGGCGGAGGTGATCCGTTCGCAGTCCTCGCCGTTTGCATTGTGCCAGGCGTAACTGGGATACGGCTGTATTAGAGGACCATTCCTGCCTTGCGTCGCAGAAACGGTGGCCAGTGTATAGGGAATGCCAGTGACAAACCTAGGAATGGTGGTGAACAGCCTAGTTTGCCCATTGGCCAGATACTGCGGTTGGACATCGATGGGAGTTCCATTCTCGGGCACCAGATTACCAGCCGCCTGGGCATTCGCCCGATCCTGGGCCGTGGGAAAACCGAACTCCAGCTGGCGCCACTGCGTCAGCGTTTCCACAGTGCGCACGGGACGCGGTCCACCAGCTCCGGCGCCATAACTCTGAGCCAGAGTCAGCGAGAAGGCGATCACCAACATCCGCAGAGGCACCATTCTGCCGCAGAGTCGGATGGTAAATGTTCTAGTCGCACTAAGGGCAGCTGCTTATCAACGGCAGCCTGATAATGGGAAGAGAGACGCTGGCGGTGATTGAAGAGAGGAGTGGATCGCGGCTTGTTGACGGACAATTAAGAGTGTCAACTCTGTTGATATTTGGCCAGATGCGGCCTGAAATGCGCTGTAATTTTATACGGTGACCCCGATCTCTGAGAAACACTTTCTTCGACGTCTCGCATCGAAAGCCAACTATCGACTGAAAACAGGCTTTTCTGGGCAGCTGAAGATGAGCAGGCAGAACGGAAACATATAGATGCTGATTCAGGTTGAATGGCAGGTGGTTTTCCCCCGGTGTTTTGCGCTTATGTTGCCTGCTTCACTTGGTCACCCAGGCTACATTTACATATACTTTTGTGAGTAGCTCGTTCGTGCTAAAAATTTTAACCAAATATTTGCTCTTGGAGCGGGTGCCAAGGGTGGAGTTGTTTACGCTCTAGAATGGCTTGGGCAAAAACCTCTTAAATATGTACCTAATAATGACAGTCCATTATTGATGAGACGCTCCAAGGGTGGGCGGGATACGCTAACCCGTAATTAGTTTTTTTATGACTCGCTATCTTAAATATCCATTACCTGCTAATCGGGAACTTCTGTTTGATTTGCTTTGTTGCAGCAACGGGAGCAGCTGGATCGCCTGAAGAACGACCAGATCCACCAGGCTGAGTTCCACCACCAGCAGATCAAGGAGCACGAGGAGGCCATCCAGCGCCACAAGGAGTTCCTCAACAACCTCCACAAGTGAGCCGTGAGCCGCCGGGAGAAAGTGACCAAGCAGATGCGATAACTCGAGACATTTACTTAAATGCATTTTACCCGATTTTGTATTTCCCCAAGTGCTCACTATTTTGTACTACCAACAACTGAAAAATGTTCAATGTATTTAATAACCGCATCAATAAAACACCCATATTTTAATGGATTTATTGGAACATAAATCTGACAGTGATAAAATCTCGGAAAGAAATAGTTAAGGCAGGGGCTTAATATCTGTTTAATTTCTAGGGGATATCTTTCCAACCTCTTACCGACCACAACTATTAAATACCCGTAACCCAGCTTAAAGGAGTACGAGAGGATTGGAAAAATGCTTCAAACGAATCTGCTTTTTTCCACTAGCACACCCTAGCCTATAGCGCCACCTAGCCTACAGCGCCACCTAGCCTATAACGGCCACTAACCTATAGCGCCCCTAGCGGCTTGCTGGTGTATTAGTAAAAACAGCTGATTTGCTGCATGCGGTGTGCAATCTCTATTGAATCCGCAAAATATTGCTTATTGTTAGGTTATAACTTTTTAATTACTGGTCTGATATTAACAATTCTTAGCATATAGATAGATATTGATAAAAACAAAATCCTTTTTAAATTTTTAAAAAATATTGGTATACCCTTTTACTCTACGAAGAAAGGGTATATAAAATAAATGTACAATAGGTGTCTTAAATCAATAACTGTTCAAGGTTAGTTCCAGTCATGAAGTTCGATGATGATCACAAGATCTTTAAAATTTGTAAGTTATAGTTTAGGTGTTATCGTTATTATGCATGCGTTATTGCTTGCAAGCTTAAGAAAACGAACTTGTGAAAAACAACACGAAATACTTGTCACGACACAAACAGCTAACAACCTAAGTGCATTGCCAATCTTAGTTAATTTTAATATATATTAATTATTTTAAATCTACTAACAACCAACTCGAATTGAAGATTATTTTTAAGTAATGTTTTAAGCTTTGGAATCATTAAACCCTGAAAAACCCTTCTGAACGAACCGCCACTTGACCGTATCAATGCTTTGGAATCAACAAAAAAGATAAATGGGAACTACAAACACGATTGTAAAGCATTAAATGTTTAACACGTAATAGGGTGCTAAGACAGCGGATTTCTACAAAAAATTAATTCCCAAACACACGCAGAGGGTACTAAAAATGCAAAATCACCTCCTAATTAGCAAACTTGTTTAGCTTTCATTCAGTTTTTAGCGTGTAAACAGTTCATTATAATAGTATTGCTAGAAAAACTTGTATGCTTAAAGACTTTCTATAAGTTAACAGAAATACATATAAGGAATTTAAAGGGCGACCAACTGGTTTTAATAACAGATTAAATAATATTGAAATCTAACGCTTTTTTTAACAGCTTACTAGCGCCACCTGTTTGAATTGGCTTGTAGCTGTTAATCGTCAACTACTTAGTAACCTGTTGAGTAATAGCATAGAAAACTATATTTTGATCAAAATATGACAAATTATTATTATTATCTATAGTAATAACTATAAAGTCAAATTAAATATTAGATAGACTGTTTAATATACTAAAACAGTTCCTCAATTAAAAGACAAATAAAATATACAGCGTTTTAATTATGTTAATTTATGAACATATCTCGTCACTATTATAGATTTTATTATTTGAAAGTGCGTTCGTTACTAACCGTTATTTTTCTTTTTATCGATAACGCTAAAGCTTATCGACAGTGTCACCGTTGACGAAACATCTGCAGATACGTATTTATTTATGTTTTTCGCATCCAGAAACTGCCGGCCACAAGTGCATCTTCACTGCGCGGTCGCTCGACCCAATCCCTAAATGGAGCCACCTCCAGGACCCGCAAGCTTTTCAACTCGTCCATGGCCAGCGATGTGCCCTTCCGCCTGCCATGTTTCCGATAAAATCACTTTATAGTCCGTGCTGGTGGAGACGCAAGACAAGGCGCTGCGCCGTATTAGCGAGCTGAGGGAGCATTGCACGCTGGAGCAGCAGGCCAAGGCTCACCTGGAGGAGGCGTTGGGGGTCGAGATGGACGACATGAGCTGCAAAATGCAGGCGTATCAGACGAAGCTTCAGCTCCTGTACGAGAATCCGGAGAATATAACGGCGGCTCTGGAGCGAAGCGGCCAGTTGTTGGACACGGAGCAGCTCATCGACCTAGAAAGTCGCCGCCTTCTGCAAATGGTACTGGTTCCGGTGAAGGAGTGCCCGATCTCCAGCGATTACTCAAAGAGCAGGAGGAGCATCTTAAGGACGTGCCGGAAAAGTATGAAGCCCTCCGCAAGCAGGAGGAGGAGAATGTCCTACTCCTGGCCCAGACTAAACAGGCCATTCACACAGAACTTGAGCACAAGGGCACCGAGGTGTCGCAGAGAGACCCACAACAATGAGGCCAAGGAGCAGAAGCTCCAGGCCTGCTTAACAACCTTAAAGGGAACTTTGCAGCCAAAGAGCAACAGGTGGCCGCCCTCGAAAGTCAAGTGGTAGCCACCAAAGCGGAAAACGAGCAAAAACAGTTAAAGAATCTGGAAGAGCAGCTGCTTAACCTGAAGAATAAAAACGAAATTAGCTTGGATTAACTTTGACACAACAAAGAAGCTATGGAGTCTCAAACCAAGGAAGCTCAGGATCAGGAACAGAAACTTTAGGCTGATTTAGAGATGGCTAAGTCCAAGCTCTTGGCCACGGAAGAGTTCCGAATATTGAGGCTAACGCCAGAAACGGTTAAGGTCAGTTGATGGCGTGAAATCACGTTCAATATCAAGCTTCTAAAGCCCTGAGGGATTTAAGGGGGTAAGTTTGTTGCTATTTGCGACCCCATTAATCCAATCTTACCGTCATTTTATATGGACATTTTATGATTGATTAGACAAAGCTTTTGAAACTAAAAGGACAGAATAATGCCCGATATTCCTGAGATTGAGTTGTATATAAATATAAATATTTACACGTTCATATAAGTTCGTTGCCTTTGTCAGAATCTGCCCATTTGCATAAATTACCATTTGAGATAGGCTGTGATAAAAATCCCTTAGAAATCCCCTTTCCAACCCAATAAACTCCACAACAACAATAATATTAACATGCTTCAGTTTAATTGGTTTAATCAATTCACTAGTTAAACCACAAGGCGAATGGACAGATCTTCGTCGTTGGAAAATAAGACGCCTCACTGAACATCATCCAAGTTGCGACGCAGAATGCGGAAGTTAACCTCGCTGAAATCCAACGTGCCTTCGGCGATTTTCTAAAGGAAAGGAGGTCAGATAGTGGTAACACATAACTCTACTCAATTAATCCCACCTGGAAGCGATTGGAGATCAACCACAATTCTTCCTGCCCCGCGGCATTTTCCACCACCTTCATTCCGCTGACGAACTGCAGCTCATCGGCCTCTGCCGGCAAAACGACCAAATTTTCCGAATCGTAGGTCGAATTTACGTTCCACATGATGAGCTGGATGGGATTAAAGGTGACGCAGTAGATGTTGTTTTTGCCATCGATGGCGGAAGCGGCGCACTCGCTCCCACGGCTGCCCAGCTCGGTGAACTGCTCCGGCAACGCCTCCGGGTTGTTGGCCCAGTTCGTCTGGTTGTTGAGCTCACTCAGTGGCACGGCGAACTCACTCGCAGTGGCCATCGGATGGAAGTAGAGATTGCTCTTGTCATTGGTGAGTGCAAACATGCCATCCATCAGGTAGAAGGTTTCGTTAGCAATGGTGTGCTTGCCGTAATCCGGATTGGGGTACATGAAGCGGTTCTCTACCCTCCAGGAGGTCTGGGCCTCGTGGTCGTAAACCACCAGGCCGTGGAAAGTCACATCGGCCACATAGACCATGGTGCTATTGCAAGATCCCTCGGGTGCAGGATCCTGAACCAGAACGCTTGGAGTGATGAAGAGGGAAGCATCTGGGGTGTAGGTGTTATTTGGAAAGCGGTAGCGATGCAGCAGGGTATCGGTATTCAGGTCGAATTGCAGCAACTGCGGTGTACAGTACTTGGTGGTGCCAATTGCACCCGTATCCATGACCCACATCTGGTTGCACTCGGTGATCTGAAAGGGACTTAATGAGCTCCTCGTATAGTCTTGGATTATTACCGACTCACAGATACTCTGTAGACGGAGGTGATCCGATCGCAGTCGTCGCCGTTATCATTGTGCCAGTCGTAACTGGGATACGGCTGCAGCAGAGGACCGTTAGTGCCATTCGTCGCAGAAACGGTGGCCAGTGTATAGGGAACGCCACTGACAAACCTAGGAATGGTGGTAAACAGCCTCATTGTCCCATTGGAGAAGTACTGCGGCTGGACATCGATGGGAGTTCCATTCGCGGGCACCAGATTACCAGCCGCCTCGGCATTCTCCCGGTCCTGGTCCGTGGCAAAACCGTACTCCAGCTGGAGCCACTCCGCCACCGTTTCCACAGTGTTCACGGAACGCGGTACTACAGCTCCGGCGCCATAACCCGGGGCCAGAGTCAGCGAGAAGGCGATCACCAATATTTGCAGAGGCACCATTCTGATGCAGAGTTGGATGGTAAGTGTTCTGGTCGCACTAAGGGCAGCTGCTTATTAAGCCGAAGTGCTCACCGTATTGTACTACCAATAACTCAAAAATGTTTAATGTTTTGGAAAAAACATCAATAAAGACCACTATTTTTATGAATTTATTGGAACATAAGTCTGGCAACAAGCAGATAAGGCAGGAATACTTTTCCAACCTCTTACCGACCACGACTATTAGATACCCGGCGGGAGCCATGGAGATATGCTTCAAACGAATCTGTTTTTTTACCACTAGCACACCTAGCCTATAGCGTCACCTAGCCTATAGCGCCACCTAGCCCATAACGGCAACTAACGTATAGCGCCCTTAGCGGCTTGCTGGTGTATTAGTAAAAACAGATGAAATATCGACTATTATTTGGTTATAACTTTTCAATAACTGGTCCGACATTAATAATTATTGGCATAGAATCCTAAAAAATAGAAGCAAAACCATTTTTGAAAAATTCTATTTATCGTTACTATTAGTTTTGTTTAGAGAAACTGGCATTAAAAAATGTTCCTTTTTAAGTCTAGAAGAAAAGTTCAAAAAGTAGGTTTTCATAAAAATTCGTGATATTCAATAAGTATTGAATGGGTTAAGAAAAGTCATGTATCATTCAAACGAAATTTAAATGACCATTTCCAATATTTAGCTTTTGTTTTGTGTAAATACTTTGGACCACCCCCTTATACTTTACAAGGTCATAAACGCTTCTTCCTACCTGTTACATACTTTACGACGAATCTAGTTACCCTTTTACTGTACGAGTAAGGGGTATAAGAATGTACGATTAGGTGGCTTAAATTAATTACTGTTTAAGGTTAGTTCCAGTCATGATCACAGGTGCAGGCGATAACACCTAAATTAGAACTTACAACTTTTAAAGAACTTGTGATCATCATCGAACTATAAATTAATTATGTTAAGTCTACTAACAGCCTAATCAAATTGAAGATTATTTTTAAGTAATGTTTTTAGCTTTGGAATCATTAAGCCCTGAAAAACCCTACTGATAAACCGTCACTTGACCTTATCAATGCTTTAGGATCAACAAAGCATTAAATGATAAACATGAAGTAAGGTGCTAGCCAGAGGATTTCTAAAAAAAATTTGTTCCCAAACACACGCAGGGTACTTAAAATGCAAAATCACCTCCGAAATAGCAAACTTGCTCAGCTTTCATTGAGTTTTAAGCGTGTAAACAGTTCATTATAATAGTATTGTTAGAAAAACTTGAAGACTTTCTAAAAGTTAACAGAAATACATGTAAAGAATTTAAAGGACGACCAACTGGTTTTGATAACATAATAAATAATATTTAAATCTAACGTTTTTATACCCGTACTCGTAGAGTAAAAGGGTATACTAGATTCGTCGGAATGTATGTAACAGGCCGAAGAAAGCGTTTCCGACCCCATAAAGTATATATATTCTTGATCACGTTCACTAGCCGAGTCGATCTAACCATGTCCGTCTGTCCTATACTATAAGAGCTAGGCTATTGGGACTTGGCATTAGGATTTAAGTCGGTGTATGATTTTTAACTTGCCAACAGAGCGACACACCTCATAAAATACCATTTTTAGGTAAAATCATTTAAAGTTCTCAGGTCTCATAAATAGTTCAGTCCTAGCGGGGCTTTATGAAACGAAGGTCAACGTCTACGAATCTTCTGAAATTTACTTCAATCATCAGAAGCGCTTTTAAAAATAACTATCCAACTGATGTAATTTTTACAGACTTTTCAGCAAGGCTTTCGATTTCGTGAACCATCAGTTATTATTGATAAAACTTAATCTATTAGGACTCCCGATCACGTTATTTAAGTGGATTTCAACATATTTAACGATCCGGACTCAGAGAGTAGTAGTAGTAGTAGTAATTTGCTGTTCTTAAACAACTCTAAATGTAACTTTATGTCCTTTTATCGGAAGAATCTCTTTCTCACAAGATATTTTATCGGGTCGAGTGATCTTGGACGCATAAATTCCGTTACAGACCTTGCAGTCTTATACAACCACAACTTATACTTCACGGATCACATTGGCATCATAGTTAGTAAAGTGAAGGAATTTGAGGACCCCTATACCACAAAACACTTATACATTTTCTTGGTTCGTCCAATCCTGCAACACTGCTCGTGAGTTTGGTCACCGCAATATGCCAAGTATCATGACCTTATCGAATCGGTACAGAAACAGTTTATTTTGTTTGCACTACGTGGCTTAAACTGGGAAACCCAACGTAACTTACCATCCTACGCGAATAGACTGCGTCTACTGAACCTACCCTTCCTCAAGGATTGTCAGAACTTCACAAAATAATCACTGGATTTGTAAATTCAAGCTACCTTCTCGGTCAAATACAGTTATCCATCCCTGGAAGGGCAACTCGTCACTTTCGACCTATTGCCCTAAATATTTGTAAATCTAATTTCGAATCACATGATCCATTTCGCGTTATATGAGTTGTCCTTCTCGATATTCACTGAATGCTCTGTAAATTTGAATGTAACCAATATCCTAACCCCCCTGTCCTTACCACCGCCCACTTTATGTGTACTTTGTTTGTTGGCAGATATTTGCCAACTTCAATGAAATAAATAAATATCGTCCTTTAATATGGGCATTTTATGATTATTTAGACATAGCTTTTAAAACTAAAAGGACATAAAAATGCCCGATATTCATGGGATTGAGTTGTATACAAATATAAATATTTATACATTCATATAAGTACGTTGCCTTTGTCAGAATCTGCCCATTTGCATAATTTACCATTTTAGATAGGCTGAGATAAAAATCCCTTAGAAATCTCCTTTTCAACCCAATAAACTCCAAAACAACAATAATATTAACATGCTTCAGTTTAATTGGTTTAATCAATTCACTAGTTAAACCACAAGGCGATTGGACAGATCTTCGTCGTTGGAAAATAAGACGCCTCACTGAACATCATCCAAGTTGCGACGCAGAATTCGGAAGTTAACCTCGCTGAAATCCAACGTTCCTTCGGCGATTTTCTAAAGGAAAGGAGGTCAGATAGTGGTAACACATAACTCTACTCAATTAATCCCACCTGGAAGCGATTGGAGATCAACCACAATTCTTCCTGCCCCGCGGCATTTTCCACCACCTTCATTCCGCTGACGAACTGCAGCTCATCGGCCTCTGCCGGCAAAACGACCAAATTTTCCGAATCGTAGGTCGAATTTACGTTCCACATGATGAGCTGGATGGGATTAAAGGTGACGCAGTAGATGTTGTTTTTGCCATCGATGGCGGAAGCGGCGCACTCGCTCCCACGGCTGCCCAGCTCGGTGAACTGCTCCGGCAACGCCTCCGGGTTGTTGGCCCAGTTCGTCTGGTTGTTGAGCTCACTCAGTGGCACGGCGAACTCACTCGCAGTGGCCATCGGATGGAAGTAGAGATTGCTCTTGTCATTGGTGAGTGCAAACATGCCATCCATCAGGTAGAAGGTTTCGTTAGCAATGGTGTGCTTGCCGTAATCCGGATTGGGGTACATGAAGCGGTTCTCTACCCTCCAGGAGGTCTGGGCCTCGTGGTCGTAAACCACCAGGCCGTGGAAAGTCACATCGGCCACATAGACCATGGTGCTATTGCAAGATCCCTCGGGTGCAGGATCCTGAACCAGAACGCTTGGAGTGATGAAGAGGGAAGCATCTGGGGTGTAGGTGTTATTTGGAAAGCGGTAGCGATGCAGCAGGGTATCGGTATTCAGGTCGAATTGCAGCAACTGCGGTGTACAGTACTTGGTGGTGCCAATTGCACCCGTATCCATGACCCACATCTGGTTGCACTCGGTGATCTGAAAGGGACTTAATGAGCTCCTCGTATAGTCTTGGATTATTACCGACTCACAGATACTCTGTAGACGGAGGTGATCCGATCGCAGTCGTCGCCGTTATCATTGTGCCAGTCGTAACTGGGATACGGCTGCAGCAGAGGACCGTTAGTGCCATTCGTCGCAGAAACGGTGGCCAGTGTATAGGGAACGCCACTGACAAACCTAGGAATGGTGGTAAACAGCCTCATTGTCCCATTGGAGAAGTACTGCGGCTGGACATCGATGGGAGTTCCATTCGCGGGCACCAGATTACCAGCCGCCTCGGCATTCTCCCGGTCCTGGTCCGTGGCAAAACCGTACTCCAGCTGGAGCCACTCCGCCACCGTTTCCACAGTGTTCACGGAACGCGGTACTACAGCTCCGGCGCCATAACCCGGGGCCAGAGTCAGCGAGAAGGCGATCACCAATATTTGCAGAGGCACCATTCTGATGCAGAGTTGGATGGTAAGTGTTCTGGTCGCACTAAGGGCAGCTGCTTATTAAGCTGAAGTGCTCACCATTTTGTACTACCAATAACTCAAAAATGTTTAAAATGTTTAAAACCACATCAATAAAGACCACTATTTTTATGAATTTATTGGAACATAAGTCTGGCAGTGATTAAATCTTGGAAATAAACAGATAAGGCAGGGATATATTTTTTCAACCTCTTACCGACCACGACTTTTAGACACCCGTTACTCAGCTAAAGAGAGTGCGAGAACGATGGAAATATCCATCAAACGAATGTGCATTTTTCCACTAGCACACCTAATATAGACAAAAATTTGGTCATAACTTTTCAATAACTGGGCCGATATTAATAATTCTTGGCATAGAATCCTAAAAAAAGAAGCAACGCAATTTTTAGAAAATTCATTTTGCAGTTACTATTAGTTTTGTTTAAAGAAACTTGCATAAAAAGTATTCCTTTTCAAGTCTAGGAAAAAGTTTAAAAAGCAGATTTTATCAAAAGTTCGGCATTTTCAATAGGTTAAAAAAGTCTTGTATCATTGAAGTTTAAATGACAATTTCCTATATTAAGCTTTAAATACTTTTGACCACCCTTGAATACTTTATAAGGTTAGAAACGCTTCTTTCTACCTGTTACATACTTTCCGACGAGTCTAGTTACCCTTATAGTCTACGAGTAAGCGGTATAAGAATGTACGATTAGGTGGCTTAAATCAATAATGGTTTAAGGTTAGTTCCAGTCATGATCACAGGTGCAGGCGATAACACCCAAATTAGAACTTACAAATTTTTAACAACTTGAGATCATCGTCAAACTTCATGACTGGAACTAACCTTGAACAGTTATTGATATATTGCTTGCAAGCTTAAGAAAATAAAATGGTTATTAAACAACAGGAAATACTTGTCACGACAAAAAAAGTTAACCAACTACATATGTGCATTGTATATCTTGGTTAATTTTAATATAAACTAATTATGTTAAATCTACTAACAGCCTAATGAAATTGAAGATTATTTTTAAGCAATGTAAAAACATTTGGAATCATTAAACCCTGAAAAACTCTACTGATACAATCGCCACTTGACCCTATCAATGCTTTAGGATCAACACGAAATAGGGTGCAAAAACGGAGGATTTCTACCAAAAATTAGTTCCCAAACACACGCAGGGTACTTAAAATCACCTCCGAATCAGCAAACTTGCTCAGCTTTCATTGAGTTTTAAGCGTTTAAACAGTTCATTAAACTAGTATTGTTAGAAAAACTTGCTTAAAGACTTTCTATAAGTTAACAAAAATACTTGTAAAGAATTTAAGGGCGACCAACTGGTTTTGATAACAGAATAAATAATATTTAAATCTAACGTTTATATACCCGTTACTCCGACCCCATGAAGTATATATATTCTTAATTAGGATCACTAGCCAAGTCGATCTAGCCATGTTCGTCTGTCCGTATAAACGCTGAGATCTATAAGAGCTGGGCTATTGGGATTTGGCATGCAGATTCCTAAGCTTCTTGCGCAGCGCAAGTTTGTTTCAGCAGGGTTCTACGCCCACTCTAACGCCCACAAACCGCCCAAAACTGTGGCTCCTACAGTTTTAATGCTAGAAAAATGTTAACTGAAATGTATTGTTCTTATCAATACCTATCGATTGACCCCAAAAAAAGTTTGCAACGCCCACTTTAACGTCCACAAACTTACAAAAAATGGCCACTATGACCACTGATATCTCGGAAACTATCAAAGATAGAGAATTGGGATTTAAGATTTAAATTTCAAAGACTTGTACGCAGCGTTAGTTTGTCACGCGAATATGCCACGCCCACTCTAACGCCCACAAACCGCACAAGCCTGTGGCGCCCACGATATGTATTAGTCTCGTCAATACCTATCGATTGATCCAAAAAAAAGTTTCCCACGTCACTCTAACGCTTATAAGGCTTAAATCTTTCTAACGCCCACATAACCACATATTAAGATCGCGGGTAGGTGGCGCAATCCAATATCGCTTTGATGCTCGCATATCTTCATCTCCCTTTTGTTTCTTTAGCTGAGTAACGGGTATCTGATAGTCGAGTTACTCGACTATAGCGTTCTTCCTTGTTTTTCTTTGATTCAACAGACTCCTGGCGCCACCTGTTTGAATGGGCTTGTAGCTCAAGTCAAGCCATTGCAGTCAGCACCTTGGGATTTGTGCCACTTGTAGCTGGGGTAAGCCTGCAGGAGGGTTCCGTTCGGACGCATTTCATTGGTGACATAGGCCAGGGAGTAGGGCACAACCTTGGCGAAGCGCGAAAGGGGGCTAGGTTGTTGCCTGGAACTTCAGACTTGCTTAATCATTTGGTGATAAGAAGTGATTCTGAACTTTCCCTCAATTTGTTTCCCGCAAGAGATTCGTCAACCAAAACAATAAGTTTTACTCTGAGCTTCAAATGATGTAAGGTAGAACCAAAACCAACTGTCAAAAGTTTCCGATTCCGAAAGTTTGGTTTGGATTTAAGTCGGTGTATGATTGTTAATTTGCCAGCAGAGCGACACACCTCATAAAATATCTTTTTTTAGGTAAAATCATTTTAAGTTCTTAGGTCTCATAAAAATTGTCCAGTCCTAGCATGGCTTAATGAAATTCTGATATTTACTTCAATCATCAGAAACAATTTTAAAAATAACTATCAAACTGATGTAATTTTTACAGACTTCAGCAAGGCTTTCGATTCCGTGAACAACCAGCTATTATTGAAAAAACTAAACCTAATAGGATTCCCGATCACGTTAACATATTTCTCGTGACCTCTGGTGTCCGCAAGGAAGCCACCTAGGACCTCTTCTTTTTGGAATTTTCATTAATGACGTGCCTCAAGTAGTTCTCTCCTCTCATGTTTGATGTACGCTGACGATGTAAAACTTTATGTCCTATTATCGGAAGAATCTCTTTCTCACAAGATATTTTATCGGGTCGAGTGATCTTGAACGAATAAATTCCGCTAAATTCCGTTTTTGCTTTTGTCAAACGTTGGTCAAAGAAATTTGAGGACCCCTATACCACGAAACACTTATACATTTCCTTGGTTCGTCCAATCCTGAAATACTGATCGTGTGTTTGGTCACCGCAATATGCCAAGTATCAGGACCTTATCGAATCGGTACAGAAACAGTTTATTTTGTTTGCACTACGTGGCTTAAACTGGGAAACCCATCGTTGCCCACCATCCTACGCGGATAGACTTCGTCTACTGAACCTGCCATTCCTCAAGGATTTTTGGACCTGCCACGGTGTTATTGTTCTTCACAAACTAATCACTGGATTTGTAAATTCAAGCTACCTTCTCGGTCAAATACAGTTATCCATCCCTGGAAGGGCAACTCGTCACTTTCGACCTATTGCCCTAAATATTTGTAAATCTAATTTCGAATCACATGATCCCCTTCGCGTTATATGTTCGCAATATAATGAATTGTCCTTTTTGATATTCACTGAATGCTCTGTAAATTTGAATGTAACAAACATCCTAACCCACCTGTCTTTACCACCGCCCACTTGATGTGAGACTGGTACTTTGTTTGTTGGCAGATATTTGCCGACTTCAATGAAATAAGTAAATATCGTCATTTAATATGGGCATTTTATGATTGTTTAGACATAGACATAGCAAACTAAAAGGACATAAAAATGGACGATATTCATGGGAGTTGTATAAAAATATAAATATTTAAACATTCATATAAGTTCGTTGCCTTTGTCAGAATCTGCCCATTTGCATAATTAACCATTTGAGATAGGCTGTGATAAAAATCCCTTAGAAATCCCCTTTCCAACCCAATAAACTTTACAACAACAATAATATTAACATGCTTCAATTTAATTGGTTTAATCAATTCACTAGTTAAACCACAAGGCGAATGGACAGATCTTCGTCGTTGGAAAAGAAGACGCCTCACTGAACATCATCCAAGTTGCGACGCAGAATGCGGAAGTTAACCTCGCTGAAATCCAACGTGCCTTCGGCGATTTTCTAAAGGAAAGGAGGTCAGATAGTGGTAACACATAACTCTACTCAATTAATCCCACCTGGAAGCGATTGGAGATCAACCACAATTCTTCCTGCCCCTCGGCATTTTCCACCACCTTCATTCCGCTGACGAACTGCAGCTCATCGGCCTCTGCCGGCAAAATGACCAAATTTTCCGAATCGTAGGTCGAATTTACGTTCCACATGATGAGCTGGATGGGATTAAAGGTGACGCAGTAGATGTTGTTTTTTCCATCGATGGCGGAAGCGGCGCACTCGCTCCCACGGCTGCCCAGCTCGGTGAACTGCTCCGGCAGCGCCTCCGGGTTGTTGGCCCAGTTCGTCTGGTTGTTGAGCTCACTCAGTGGCACGGCGAACTCACTCGCAGTGGCCATCGGATGGAAGTAGAGATTGCTCTTGTCATTGGTGAGTGCAAACATGCCATCCATCAGGTAGAAGGTTTCGTTAGCAATGGTGTGCTTGCCGTAATCCGGATTGGGGTACATGAAGCGGTTCTCTACCCTCCAGGAGGTCTGGGCCTCGTGGTCGTAAACCACCAGGCCGTGGAAAGTCACATCGGCCACATAGACCATGGTGCTATTGCAAGATCCCTCGGGTGCAGGATCCTGAACCAGAACGCTTGGAGTGATGAAGAGGGAAGCATCTGGGGTGTAGGTGTTATTTGGAAAGCGGTAGCGATGCAGCAGGGTATCGGTATTCAGGTCGAATTGCAGCAACTGCGGTGTACAGTACTTGGTGGTGCCAATTGCACCCGTATCCATGACCCACATCTGGTTGCACTCGGTGATCTGAAAGGGACTTAATGAGCTCCTCGTATAGTCTTGGATTATTACCGACTCACAGATACTCTGTAGACGGAGGTGATCCGATCGCAGTCGTCGCCGTTATCATTGTGCCAGTCGTAACTGGGATACGGCTGCAGCAGAGGACCGTTAGTGCCATTCGTCGCAGAAACGGTGGCCAGTGTATAGGGAACGCCACTGACAAACCTAGGAATGGTGGTAAACAGCCTCATTGTCCCATTGGAGAAGTACTGCGGCTGGACATCGATGGGAGTTCCATTCGCGGGCACCAGATTACCAGCCGCCTCGGCATTCTCCCGGTCCTGGTCCGTGGCAAAACCGTACTCCAGCTGGAGCCACTCCGCCACCGTTTCCACAGTGTTCACGGAACGCGGTACTACAGCTCCGGCGCCATAACCCGGGGCCAGAGTCAGCGAGAAGGCGATCACCAATATTTGCAGAGGCACCATTCTGATGCAGAGTTGGATGGTAAGTGTTCTGGTCGCACTAAGGGCAGCTGCTTATTAAGCCGAAGTGCTCACCGTATTGTACTACCAATAACTCAAAAATGTTTAATGTTTTGGAAAAAACATCAATAAAGACCACTATTTTTATGAATTTATTGGAACATAAGTCTGGCAACAAACAGATAAGGCAGGAATACTTTTCCAACCTCTTACTGACCACGACTATTAGATACCCGTTACTCAGCTAAAGGGAAATATGCTTCCAACGAATCTGCTTTTTTCCACTTCCACACCTAGCCTATAGCGCCACCTAGCCTATAACGGCAACTAAGCTATAGCGCCCATAGCGGCTTGGTGGTGTATTAGTGAAAACAGCTGATTTGCTGCATGTGGTGTGCAAAAAATATAGACCATTATTTAGATATTACTTTTTAATAACGGGTCCGATAGTAATAATTCTTGGCATAGAATCCTAAAAAAATGAAGCAAAACGATTTTTTACAAAATTCTATTTGCAGTTACTAGTAGTTTTGTTTAGAGGAACTGGCATTAAAAAATGTTCCTTTTTAAGTCTAGGAAAAAAGTTCAATATAATATTCAATAAGTACTGAATGGGATAAGAAAAATATTATATCATTCAAACGAAATTTAAATGACCATTTCCTATATTTAGCTTTTGCTTTGTGTAAATACTTTTGACCACAGAAACGCTTCTTTCTACCTGTTACATACTCTCCGACGAATCTAGTTACTCTTTTACTCTACGAGTAAGGGGTATAAGAATGTACTATTAGGTGGCTTAAATCAATCTGTTTAGGCTAGTTCCAGTCATGATCACAGGTGCAGGCGATAACACCTAAATTAGAACTTACAACTTTTAAAGAACTTGTGATCATCATCGAACTATAAATTAATTATGTTAAGTCTACTAACAGCCTAATCAAATTAAGCCTGAAAAACCCTACTGATAAACCGCCACTTGACCCTATCAATGCTTTAGGATCAACAAAAAAGGTAAATGGGATGTAAAAACACGATTGTAAAGCGTTAAATGAAAAACACACAACAGGGTGCTAAAACAGAGTTTTTTAAAAAAATGAGTTCTAAAACACACGCAGGGTATTTAAAATGCAAAATCACCTCCGAATTAGCAAACTTGCTCAGCTTTCCTTCAGTTTTTAGCGTGTAAGCAGTTCATACAGAAATACATATACAAAATTTAAAGGGCGACCAGCTAATTTTGATAACATAATGAATAATATTTAAGTCTAACGTTTTTTTTCTTTGATTTAACAGACTCCTGGCGCCACCTGTTTGAATGGGCTTGTAGCTGTTATTCGTCAACTACTTGGTAATATTTAAATTTTGATCAAAATATGACAAGTTATTCTTAGCATTAGAAAGAAAAACTCTCATTAGTAATAACTATAAAATCAAATTAAATATTAAATAGACTGTTTAATATAGACACTAAAACAGTTCCACAAGTAAAAGACAAATAAAATATATAGCGTTTTAATTATGTTAATTTATAAACATATCTCGTCACTATTATAGATTTTATTATTTGAAAGTGCGTTCGTTACCAGCCGTTATTTTTCTTATTATCGATAACCCTAAAGCTTATCGACAGTGTGACCGTTGGCGAAACATCTGCAGACACGTATTTATTTAGATGTTTTTTAATTAAAAATTGAATAGTGCTCGAACCAGGTAGCCCAGGTAGACAAAATAAAGCGCAGAAGGGCCTCGAAATGTTTGCCAACCTGAAGAACAAGCTGATCGAGGAGGTGAAGGCGTCGCCATCGAAATTCCAACAATTTGCGAATGCTGCACAGGTATTTCATGGGTTTGCGGGCGGGGGCGGGGCGAGGTGCCGATGGAAAATGCAAATTAAGCAAAACATACGCACACCGATAGGCATTTTACATGTGTTGGTAAAGCTGGGGAGGGTTCGGAAATAGTGCAATTGTGACCCATTTCTGGGGAGGAGGAGAAGCAAAGTGAAGTGACCAGCTGCTCATGGTTATGCTCTGTTTTTTAGGCCGCCGTGAGCTCATCGTCGAGCACAACACCTAATTCGGATACGAACACCAGCAACAATGAAAACTTCTTCAGCATCACGGAGGAGGGTGAGTTCGCCATGAATCACCTGGAGTTCCTTATCACACACAACTTTCCTCCAATCCCCAGACACGCCTCAGAACTCGCCTTATCGCATCCAGAAACTGCCGGCCACTAGTGCATCTTCACTGCGCGGTCGCTCGACCCAATCCCTAAATGGAGCCACCTCCAGGACCCGCAAGCTGTCCAACTCGTCCATGGCCAGCGATGTGTCCTTCCGCCTGCCCACTTACGAAGCACCAGCTGTAAGTATTCCAATTCCACACCCCAATAAAATAATATAATGGATTAAACCAGGTCTACCATCTCCAATCGGATCTGGACGAGACGAGCAGCGAGTTCGACGACTCCGCCTCCACAGCCCGGCTGGATGTGATCACCAAGGACCAGCTGTACGATGCGTACAAGAAATCCCTCGATCGGTATCACAAGTACCGCTGTCGCTACACGGATCTGGCCAAAAAGTACAAGGAACTAGAACGCGACAGCTCCAAGGCGAGGGTATCTATCTATCTTATCGTGCCTATTGATAAGCTTGTTTGTCTAACTTATGTTTTCGATAAAATCACTTTACAGTCCGTGCTGGTGGAGACGCAAGACAAGGCGCTGCGCCGTATTAGCGAGCTGAGGGAGCAGTGCACGCTGGAGCAGCAGGCCAAGGCTCATCTGGAGGAGGCGTTGCGCGTCGAGATGGACGACATGAGCTGCAAAATGCAGGCGTATCAGACGAAGCTCCAGCTGCTGGGCGAAAATCCGGAGAACATAACGGCGGCTCTGGAGCGAAGTGGCCAGTCGTTGGACACGGAGCAGCTCATCGACCTAGATGAATCGGCTGGAAAGTCGCCGCCTTCTGCAAATGGCACTGGTTCCGGTGAAGGAGTGCCCGATCTCCAGCGATTACTCAAAGAGCAGGAGGTGCATCTTAAGGAGGTGACGGAAAAGTATGAAGCCCTCCGCAAGCAGGAGGAGGAGAATGTCCTGCTCCTGGCCCAGACTAAACAGGCCATTCACACGGAACTTGAGCACAAGGACACCGAGGTGCGGCAGCTTCAGGAGAAACTCAAGCAGTTGGAGTCCCAGCGAGAGACCCACAACAACGAGGCCAAGGAGCAGTTTAAGAAGCTGCAGGCCACAAAGCAGGAGGTCGATGCCAAGCTATTGACCTCTGAGCACCTGCTTAACACCCTCAAAGGAAACTTAGCAGCCAAAGAGCAACTGGTTGCCGCCCTCGAAAGTCAAGTGGTAGCCATCAAAGCGGAAACCGAGCAAAAACTAAAGGAATTGCAACAACAGAACGAAAATCGCAGCAACCAAGCAAGCGATTCAACCGAGCAGCTTGAAAAACTGCAGTCAGCCTTAAAAGAAGCCGAAACGCAGATCTTGGCAAAGGATCAACTTCTGGAAACTCTCAGAAGCGAACACTCAGCCAAGGAGAAACAGTTAAAGGATCTGGAAGAGCAGCTGCTTAGCCTGAAGAATGAAAACGAAATTAACTTGGATAAACTTCGACACAACAAAGAAGCTAGCGAGTCTCAAACCAAGGAAGCTCAGGATCAGCAACAGAAACTTCAAGCTGATTTAGAGATGGCTAAGTCCAAGCTCTTGGCCACAGAAGAACTTGCGAATTCCCTAAAGAGCGATCACAAAGCCAAGGTAGAGCAGTTAGCTGAGTTAGAAGACAAACTGAAATCTCTTGCCGAAGAAAACGAAAATAACCTGGAAAAATTGCGCCAGGTCAACGAAAATCGCGAGACCGATTTCCAGGCAAAGCTGAATAAACTGCAAACAGCTAAGGATGAAGCCGAGTCGAAACTTCTATCCACGGAACTCAGTTTGAGTGCGCTTCAAGCCGCACTCTCGGCCAAGGAGGAGCAAGCTGCATCCTTGGAGAAAAGCCTGAATGCCCTCAAAACCGAAAACGAGCACAGTTTGCAGGACCTGCAGTTGCTAGAAATTGTCCAGCGTCATCAGCAAAACGACTGGGAAGCTCAGCTGGATCAGGCTAGAGAAGAATTAGCCGAAATTCAATCGCAGCGGGAGCAACATGCTCTTGAACTCGAAAAAAGTCTGGAAGTGGAACGCGAATCGGTGGCCGCTTTGAGTTCCGAGAAAGCCTCCCTGGAGGAACAGCATAGACTTAAGCTGGAACAGCTGCAGCGCGAGATTCAAATCCTGCAGGATCAGCACGCCGAATCGGAGAGCGAAACGGTGGCTGCCCTAAAAGCTCAGTTGGAGGCACTTAAGCAGAACTTGGCCACCAGTCAAGCGAGTCTCCTGGCCAAGGAAAAGGAACTCAAAGCCAGCGGTAACAAGTTAAACAAGATAAAGAAGCAACATGAGCAGCATCAGGCCAAGTCAAGCGAACAAAACGCCCGCCTCGAAACGCTGCAAAGTGAATTGGCAGATCGACTGGCTCACTCCCGCCAGGTGGAGAGCGAAAAGGAGGAATTGCAGACACGGGTCACCGGTATTCTGGAGGAGATCGCTATGATGCAGGCGCAGATGCAACAGGTGCAGGATTCACACAGCGAACTGGAACACGAAAAGCGCAAGCTTGAATCCCGAATTGAGTCGCTGCAGCAGGAGCAGGTTGACAGCAGTGCCCAGGACGAACGAACCTCCGCCAAGTTGGAGGAGATCCAGAGCGAAAACACCAAGCTGGCTGAGCGCAACTGTCTGCTGGAGGAGCAGGCCAATCACTTGGAGTCCCAGCTGCAAGCCAAACAAGACGAGATGGGCAAGATTCAGGTGAAGATGCAACAGGTCCTTGACGAGCATTCGAAACTGCAAAATGCCCAGGAGCTAATGGACCACGACCACCGGACGCTGCAGGACAAGTGCGATGCCTACGAAAAGGACAAGCTGCTGACCAAGGACACGCTGGACTGCCTGCAGGAAGCCAGTGAGGAACTGCAGCGGGTTAAGAGCAATTTGGAGCGGGATCTGGAGGAGCAGCAACAGCAATTGTTGGAGCTAAGAGAGCGTCAGAGAGAACAGGAGCAGCAGCTGAAGGACCAAGCCGAACGCTGCGCGGAACTGGAGGCCCAAAACACCGAGTGTGAGTCCCAACTGCAGGTCACTATCAGCAATCTTCGCGAGCAACTTGATGCTTACAAGCAGTCAGAGCAAGGCATCCAGGAGAAGATCCAGGCCACCAGTTCGTCCTATGGCACGCAAATCGCCACTTTGGAAGCTCGCTGGAGCGCCGCCAATTCGGATGTGGAGCGCCTCCACGAAGCCAACGACGCCTTGCACCTGGAAATGGAACAGTTGAAAATCAAGCACAGTCAGGAGCGCGAGGAAGTAAAGGAGTCCATAGCCCAGAAAAACCGGCAGGTGGTGGAGCTCCAGGAAGCCATGGCCCTGAGGGATACTCAGCTGAAGGACAAGGTAGATGCCTTCGAAAAGCTGGCCAAATTCGATGAAATTCTCATCGAGAACGAGTACTTGAACAAGCACACTAAACAACTGGAGAAGGAATTGGCTGAAGGCGCTGAGCTGAAGGAAAAACTAAAATCGTTGCAATGTGAACTGTATGTACTCCAGGAAAAGGCCGAACAGCACGCCGTCCAAATGTTAGAAAAGGAAACTCAAAGTGCGGCAGCCACAGCAGAGGTCTCCGAACTGAAGCAAGCCATAGAGGAACAGGCTGTGGAGCTAACCCGTCAGAAAGAGCACGCCAGCTTTGTCACCGAACAGAGTGACGCTGTACAAAAGGATCTGCTCCAAGCGCAGCAGCAACTCCATGACAAACAGATTGAGCTAACGAAAGTCCAAGAAGAGCAGACCATTCTGCAGGCTGAGCTGGATAGCCTCAATGAAGAGGTGGTCAGTCTCAGGGACTGGTCCACACCGGACTCCGACGGCTTGCGCAGCCTTAACGAGCGACTGCAGCGGGAGCTGGAGGATCTGAAGCACAAAAGCAACGGTGCGGAGTCCAATATGCAGCAGGAGATCGAGGAGCTGCAGGCGAATAACCAGCAGATGGCCGAGCGCATCAATGAGCTGGAAACCCTGCGAGCGGGCATCCAGGCCCAGCAGCTCCTCGCCAGCATGGCTCCCAAAAACGTCCAAGAGGCAGCTGCTGCTGGAGAGAAGGCTGAGCTGGAGGCCAAGCTTAAGGAGATTATGAACGAAGTGCAGGATGTGACGAATCGGAACCTGTTCCTGGAGCAAAAGTGTGAGAACTACCTGATACTCGAACAGTCTAACGAACGACTAAAGCTGCAGAATGCGAAATTGTCGCGGCAACTGGATGAAACACTGGTGAGGTTTTAGCAGGGTTATGTTAATTGATCCCACTGTTGATCGCCTCTTTTTTACGTCAGGTATCCATGCAGCATAGCGAGGCTGTTCCGGCTAACACGGAGTTTGAATACTTGCGCAACATCATGTTCCAGGTAAGCGTGCGACTTCTCAATGTGTGGTTAAGGTTTTGGTTTGTTATATGTCGGAGAAAGTTTGGTTAATTAAAATTACTGCTATCAGGAACTAAAATTCATTGAAAAATGCAATCTGACAAACCTTTAACTTTAAGTTTTGTCCGACAGATGATAACCAGTAGTTTTTCCACCAGTTAAAAGTTTGAAGTCAAATAAAACCTAACATAATTTTATCTTTTTAGTACCTGACTGGCAACACGAACAACGAGACACTGGTCAAGGTGATATCGGCAGTGCTCAAATTCTCGCCGCAGCAGGCCCAAGTTGCCCTGGAAAAAGAGCATCAGAGGCGATCGCTGGTAGGATCCGCAATAATATAACCATGTTAGATCACCAACTTATGAAATACAATCAATTTCAGCTGAACAAACTAATCTAGCATGAACTGATGGCTCTCTACGATGGAGACTGGAACTGGGAGCCCTGCCCGGCGACGCTTCTAGAACGCAAATGAAGTCGGAATGATTGGCCCGAGATCACAAGTACCTTATACCTCACCTCTGGCATATGAGATGTGTTTTTCCGGCTGACTCTGCAGGCATTTTGAGTTGTGGGAGCAGTTGATGTTTGTGCTAGCCCCGTACTAGGTCAATGTTATTGTACAGTCCACTAATTAACTATAGCTACTTCTATCCAAATTCATGCTAAGCACTTTTGTACATTTCGATTAAGCTTTCCTTTGTTTCCGGCATTCACTTGCTTGCGATCCATATACCATATCCCCATCTCCCCCCACTTAACCACTATCTAACCTAAGTGCAATCTTTTTGTGTATTTTAGTTATAAGTTGAAATTTGTAAAGATCCGCAGCACAGTTGGCATTTAGTTTAATTCAAATTCTATACAATTACATACATAAATAAATAGTTGCAATTCATACACGGGAATTTCTAATCTTTTGAGTTTTTCCCAGTGGCCGCTACGAAGCGGAAATGCCTTCGCCGCTCCGCAAAGCATCTTAGCATGGCCCGCGTCAGCGGATCCAACTGGTAGTTCGGCCTGTAGTCCTTCAGGGCGTCGAAAGTGTACTTGAATCCGAATCTTTGCAAGCGTAGACATGCCTGCACTGCCGCCTGTTGAACTCCAGATCGTGGCACTGCCACTAGCAGGCGCTTCAGGAAACCCACAAAGGCAGACATATCTGTTTCCAGGGGAAGAGGCTTCAGAACTAAGGAGATGCAGTGCAGCAGATGCACGAGCCGGGCATCGTATGACTTGTCTTGGGCAGCGAGATCACAGTAGCTGGTGGCGAGCGGCATTAGGTGTTCCCCCAGCACGCTGTCCAGAACCTTGAGATGAGCAGAACGCCGGCAGAAGAGCGCGAAGGCGTAACCCAGCTCCTCCATACGACCAGCCTTAAGTTTCCCCACCAAGTTCTCCAACACCTGCTGTTTGGTGGGCTCAAAGGGCTGGAAGTGATACTCAAAGCGCAGCTTGGAAAGCAGCATTCGTTCAGCGCCCTCCGGATCCTGCATGTCGTACTGCCGGCTCATCAGCAGATGCTTAATCACGGTGATCAGGGCATCCGAGTTGTCGTACTCCCGCTGTTCGCGGTGAGGAATCACAGTGGGAAACTGGCGCAATACCTCCAAGACCAGTGGCGGCACATCCTGGTCGAAGTGGTACAGAATTTTGGCCAGCAGCAGCCTAGCTGGATTTTGATACCCCTTTGCCGACATGCTCGCTTGTAGGGCCACCGCCTTCAAGTAGAGTTTCAGGTATTTCAGAGCCACCTCAGTAGCTGGCCGCTCCTTGGTGTTTCGGAACAGACGCTCCTCCAGTTCAGCCAGAAATCTCTGAGAGAAATTGAAATACTTCAGGGCATTTAACAGACGTTCCACTGGATTCCCATCTGTGCCAATCTTGCAGATTACTGTTATCAAGGCATTCACAATAACGGCCTCATCTTTGGTCACCTTGTAGATCTCCAAGGCCAAGTCACTGCAGCTCGACTCCAGTTGCATGGTCTCCTGGAGATATTTGCCTATTGAGGCGCACAGTTGAGGTTGCAATTTCCCCAGTGTTTTCCTTTTTGCCTGGATGACCTTGGCCACCTCCTTGTCCTTTTCAATTACATGTTGTAGGAGCGACTTGGGTTGGCCATCTTCCCCGCTGATTATAGATTGCTCTAAGGGGATTTCGGTGGGTGGATCGACTAGCTCGTCAGTTGTCTCAGAAACAGGAGAGGCTGGTGACTCCTCGCTGAATGAAAAGGTGTGCTTAATGGCCTCTGGTTCCATAAGTGCCTTCTTTGTCTGTTGCCTTTCTAGCTCAATTGGTTTAAAAGGCTCCGGTTCAGTAAATCCTTGTTTGAGCTGGCTCCTAATTCGTTCTACAAGCGAAAGTCCTTTTTCTGGACTGGATTTCTGTTCGTCAAGCAGTTGCTTGGCCCTCTGCCGAGTCAAACGAACAGGTCCCGGCGGAGATGGAATTTTAATCTCGCTTTTTGTTCTTTTCCGTTTAGCTGGTATTTGACAAGGTGAAGGTGGTTTCTCTGGTTGCTTAGTGGAGATTGGTTCGTCGATAATCAGACTGTTCTCGTCCTCGGAATCATCACTTGTGTTTTCAGTGACCTTAGAGCTGATTTGCTTCTTGAACTGCTGGATGCCTTTTACTTTAAAATCAGGTCCTGAGTTTTCCATGACTGAAGGTTGCTTTATGGTAATCAAATCGGCTTCAGTAAGTAAAGGCACACTAGATGGTGCTATGGAAGCTATTTCATCTTCATTTTTATCAGCATGTTCTTTAATAGGTTGCTCTTCGGCAGCATTTTTAAGGACATCCTCCTCTTCCAGCTTTCCTTCTGGTTCAGAACTTTCCTCATCCGATTCTGAATCACTGCCGAACAAGGAAGTATTTATTCTAAGTTTGGAATCTTTGTGGTCAATGGAAATTCTACATTTTTCACTTTCATTTTCCGAATTGCTTGATTCGGGATCCATCATAACCTCGCTCAATTCGGATTCCGGATCTGAATCACTAAAACCACCAAAAAGTGACATTGAAGTTGGTAAAATATCACAATCGCTGTGATTCAATGAGCTTTCTGGCTCTTCTGAAGATTTAAAAAAGTCTGTGGGCACAGTATCATTAACACTTTTCGTTGTACTCTCATCCAGATTTGAGTCACTACTGAACAAGGGTGATTTCGATCCTTCTGTTGAAAAATCATCTCTTTTGCTCGATATACGTTGCAACTCCTCACAAGCGTTTAAATCGGAATATAATCTTTCCTCTGCCAACGACTCTTTCCTCTCATTTGATTTCACATCGGAAGCGCTGCCATATAAGGATGGATGCAACGGAATAGCTTCAATTGGAGCGAATTCAGTTGGGCTCTTAATCTCTAACTCGATTTCTGGTTTCTTTAAGGAAGGTACTTCCGAATCTTGCGTTTTATGTGGCTGCCGAGGGAGTTCCATACTAGCTGGTTCTCCGTCATCATCTTTTAAAGACGAACCTTTTCCCTTCTGGCCTGCACACAAAGGATCTGGAGTACTATTTTCTGGCAGTAGGAACTTAGTGTTTTCCGCAGGGCTTTCGAAGTCTTCAGGGACCTCGTCCCTAATGATTTCTTCCTTTTCTTCTTTTTTCGCGTTGGATGTCAACTGAAGCAGATATAGTTCTTCCTCATCCAATTCCATATCGAGATTATCACAGTTGGCCATGTTAAATGTTTTCAAATTGCTTAAAAACTGGATTGCCGTTTCTGGCTTTTGTTCATGTTCTACACCTGGTTCATTATTTGTCTCCAGACGTACTGGCCCCATCTCCAGGCAGTTTCGTTTGGGAACAGGCTTCGCCATTGCAACAGCTTTACGCTTTTTGGATTTTCGCTTTCGTTCTCTGGACTTGGAGGGCAGGCGGATGGGAGTCACATCTCCTCCGTGGCTGATGTTGGGCGACTCAATGATGGGATCCGTTCCAAGATCCTTGCATTCTGTGCTGGTGGCGAAATCTAAAAAGAATATGGACTGTATTAATCCACTTACTGACGCGATCTCGATGGTATTACCTCTCTTGCTGGTGCTTCTGCTAGACGACTGCTCCGTCTGGCTTTGCGTGCCCTCATAGAGCTCATACAGCCAGCTGGTAAAGTCCGCCTGACTGACGCTCGGCGGCGTGGCCAGCGACGGATTGGAACGGCTTTGCAGCAGGCCCAGGACCATTTGGCCAAATACCTGCCACAGCTCCTCGAAGGCCTGCGGTGGCAGATTGGCCAGGCAGCTTTGGTTTTGAGGTAGAAAGTTGAGTAGCTCCTTGGCCAGCTCCCTGGAGGATCTGGCCTCTTCCTTTACACTGTCCAGCATGGTTCGCGATGGTGGCCGTGAGGCGGACACCTTGATTTGCGCCGGCCGGTCGGACAGGAAGTCAATCTCGCGGTGTATATCACACAAATTAGTGCAGGTGGCCACACTTGCTGTGGCTGGAAGTTCCTCCAGCTCCGGCTGCGGGTCGCTCAGTGGACTCATCGGTTCAATTATTACATCCTGATGCCACGAGAGCATTTCATCGAGGATCTGCCGCACATTTGGCAGGGGAGTGGGCTCGGGAAAGCAGGTGCCCACATCTTGATGCCGGATGAAAGAGGCTGTTGTGGTGCCCCGCGTAGTGGTGGTGTTCTTGTGCTGCGTGGCCTGGTTACGGGTCTCTATTAGACCCTCCACCTGTACGGCCACAGAACAAAGTGCGGGCTTGGCCTCAACCGGCTTCACGTCGGTTTGCGTGGATTGGTTGACCCCAGGCTGATGGCTCTTCCGTTTGCTGCGTGGATTGGGACTTTTCGGCGTGGGCAGACTTATATCCAGCGTCTTGAAGTGCTCCTTTAGCTTTTTCATGATGTTGTAATCCCGCCGCAGGAGTCCACTATCGTCGCCCAGACGCTGGGACAGCTGCATCAGTATGGAGAGCACATCTTTGGCATCCGCGGGCAGTCCCCTGACCTGCAGCTCATCTTGAAGATTCTCGCAGGTCTGAGCCTGGGCATCTAGCTTCTTCTCCAGCTCCTCGCATCGCAGGTCGATCTGCTTGGAGCGTTTCTCCAGCTCGATTCGCTGCTGCTTCTCCTTTTGGTACAGATCGGTCACCTCCTGGGCGGTGCGCTGCAGGTCCGCCAGCTGTTTGTTCTGCGCCTGGAGCTGTTTCACCTGGCGGACCAGCTCATCGTTCTGGGCTATCCGCTCGGCCAGCCGGCTTCGCTTGGCCCGCACATCCTGGTTGATCCTGGGCAGCGGAACCTGCTTGTAGGGCGCCACCAGGCCATCTTGGAGCGGAGCGGAGGAGCCCAGTAGCTGGTCAATATTGAAGTCCGAGAACTCGGACAAATCCATGCTACCGCCGTCTTGTTGTTGCTGGATTTCACGTGGTCGCGTTTGCAAGCGCCACTGGCGATTTCAGATGGTTCCGAAACCAACGAAACAGTTCACGATCCTACACATTCTGCACCTCTCGTTGATTCTGGGTAAAGTTCAGCTGCGAATCCTCTGATTTAATACACAAAACAGGAACTAAAACAAAAATCCGCGTTTTTTCTGCAGCCGGTCACCAAAACATTTGCCTGAACGATAACACGAAACGGGACTATCGATAAGTCATTGGTCAATTTTAATGCCACTCTGATAGGCTATTCCCACTGGCGTGCCTAAGAGCCGTTTACACTGACATCGAATTTTAAATTCCACGGATATTCCTAGAAAGCAACCTTTAATTCAACAAGGATAAACCTACTGCTTTTTGTTACTCTGTGTAGCAAGATGTTTATCCTTAAATCCTGTTGTGGAAATCCGAAATATTTATTTTAGTGTTATAGCAGCGTAGTAAGACCGTACTTGGGAAGTGTTTTTTTTAGGAGATTTATTTAATAAAAGTCCATCTAACCTCGAATCAAATCATTTATTCGCCGATTTCACGTTAAATCCAACACAAAGCGCTTTGAAATGTTGATGCAAGAATTAAGACTAACTTAGTGGCCCTTTAGTGGTGCTCGGCATGCTCCTTGGCCTGGGACTCGGCCCATGCCTTCTTGTTTTCGGGGGAGTTGGCTGAAATAGGTGGAAATATGAGATTAATAAGGATGTAGTTTAGTTAACCGACATTGAACGCACCCAATTTGCTGATCTTGTAGAACACGGGCACGCAGGCCACGGCCGCAATGAAGTAGTAGCGCCAGATCCACTGGTTCTTGATGTAGTGCTTGATGGGGAATTGGGCTATCTTCGCCGAGAAGGTGTACGGATAGCGCATGGGGCGTCCGGCGGGTTTCTCAGCAGCAGCTTTGTCGGCCATGGTAGTCGGTGATTTCGGAGCTGCGATGGGTCGATGCAAAGGAATTCAATTTATGCAAAAATTATGTAATTTTCAGCAGCGGCAGGCGAACATACGTACCTCACAAATAAAAGTCAGCTATGGGAATGCCAACTTGACAGGGCACAGAAGCACTAAAAATGACAGTGGATTGCGGCCCAGTGGCAACGCCACCCATGTGTTTACCACTGCATATCGAAACAGTTATCGATTCACTTGCAGCACTATCAGCTGCTAGACTTTTTTTGCCATCGTGAGCAAAACTTTCAAGTTATTTAAATAATTAAAAACAGTAAGGTAAGGGTGCGGTAACTGCAAAAATAGTTAACTATTTACCCCAACTTTATGCTTACCAAAATCCCAAAGATCCAGCCTGGAACTTAGTAGGCCCGCCAGAGGAGTCTTAAACTTTAACCTTTCACATCCTTATTTCACTGAAATTGCCTTGTTCTCTCTTTTCAAGCTTGCAAAATGGTTTTAACTAGCGAACAGGTGCCACAGGTAGCTAGCCTCACTCACCTGAGTGAAAATCACTTAAAAAACCAAATACCGAAAATTTGCCTTTTCATTTTGCATGTCTTCCGATTTGTTTCTATATTGGATCTCTGTAGTTTATTAACCTTTTATGATCCTAATCAAAGAACTAACGATGTGTTCCACACCCACAGACTCAGGTCCAGATATTGAAGAGCAAACACAAGAAGCAACGACAACGCAATCGACCGCGCAACAAACGAAATCGCCTGGAAGATAATCATATAACGACTCCGGAGACTTCAACCACCGATTCTGCTAGTGCAATGCCAGGAACTCAGGATGCAGTGGCCCCGGAGAAGACGCGGGAACAAGTAATGGCCGAGAGGGAGGCGAAAAAGCTAGCCAAACAGGCCAAGAAACAGAATAAGCCTCAGACTCCTGCCACTCCCGCTACTCCAGCTGCTCCGGCCACCAAGATTATCACTGAGGTGGAGCAGACGACCATTACCACCAAGCTGACTACCACCACTACAACAAAAGCCCAGGAGAAACTGGATTCACTTGCTATAAAGACAGTTCCGCCTACGGTGGCAAATGGAAACGATGCGGAGGCGGGTGAAAAGTCACGGGAGCAGATTAAGGCTGATCGCGAGGCCAAGAAGGCGGCCAAAAAAGCTGGCAAGGGGGCTGGAGCCAAAGTGGAGGACACCACACAACGTTTGTCTGATCTAAAAGAGTCGGATAAAGCTCCAGTTCCAGCTAAAGCTGCTCCTCCAGCCACAGAAAACGATCTAGAAAAGGTGGGACCCCTTTAAACTTTAACCCCCCACAAAGCTTACATTATCTTTTATTCTTATTTTCACAGAAAAAACCAGCCCTTAGCAAAGCAGAAAGGCGCGCCATTCAGGAAGCTCAGCGGGCAGCCAAGACCCAAGGACAGGCTAAAAAACCACAACCAGCTGGCAAAGCTCCTCCCACCGCTCCTCCCAAGGAGCTTAAGCGGGAAAGCGTCTCCCCCACAAAAGCGGCCACAAGCAGCTCACCCAGCAAGTGTCCAGCGAGCACTCCAAGTGGAGAGTGCCGGGTAAAGCTGTTCAACCACCTGGTGTGCGCCAAGGAAGACAGCCAGTTCATCAACGATCCGCTCGTGCATCCGAGCATAGCGCGTCTGGGTGTCCAGTATGCCAAGCGCACGGTGGTGGGCTCCAATGCCCGATGCATCGCCTTCCTGCACGCTCTGCGCCAGGTGGTTCACGATTTTGAGACGCCCGCCAAGAAGGAGTTTGGTCGCAGTTTAGACGCTGCTGTGAAACACCACGTAGACCACCTGCATAAATGCCGACCATTGGCTGTCTCCGTATCCAATGCCTACAAACAGTTTAAGAACCAACTAACACAGTTACCAGCAGATATTCCAGAGACGGAGGTAGGTTTATCAAAACAAATAAGATGATTCCAAATTAAGTCCTTATTAATTCAACAGCTAAAGGAGCTCCTCGGCCATTTCATCGATACTTACATTGAAAATCAAATCGGGAAGGCTGCCCAAGCAATCAGTGGATTCCTACAGGAAAAAATCACCGATGGCGATGTGCTGCTGACCTTTGCCTGCTCTTCCCTCATCCAGTTCATCTGCGAGGAGGCCAAGCGGCGAAAGGTGGCCTTCCGGGTGATTGTCGTCGATTCCCGGCCCGGGTGTGAAGGTCAGGAGATGCTACGCCGACTGCACGCCTATGGAATCCCATGCACCTACGTGCTGATCAACGCCGTGGGTTATGTAATGGCGGAAGCCACCAAGGTTTTGTTGGGAGCGCACGCCCTGCTGGCCAACGGCTACGTGATGGCGCGCACAGGAACTGCCCAGGTGGCCCTGGTGGCCAATGCACACAATGTCCCCGTGCTCGTGTGCTGCGAGACGCACAAGTTCAGCGAGCGCTTCCAGACGGACGCCATCGTCTACAATGAGCTGAGCGATCCCAACCAGCTGGTGCGCGGCGACAAGTGCCAGCTGAACAATTGGAAGGCCAAGGGCAAGCTGATGCCCCTGAATCTTAACTATGACATTACTCCGCCGGAGCTGGTGAGTGCGGTGGTCACCGAAGTGGCCATCCTGCCCTGCACCAGTGTCCCGGTCATTCTGCGCATCAAGCCAGACATTGGCTACTAAACCAGACTTCTTCGATCGCTCAGTGTTTCACTCGCAGTTGTTGAATAAATAATTTTTATTACACTTTGATCAAATCGATAAACAAGTTTGCATATTTTTCATAATATTCGGTTGTTTCTGGCAACCTAATGCTAGTGGAATATACTTGATGCCGGGGACCGCTGCTTCAATGGAGGGCTAAGCCCCATGTGTCTGTACATTCTCATTCCCGCCAATTCTTCGGAAACCATAGATCTTTAAAGCGGTCCCCTTTGAATCTACAAATTATCTTTCACATGTAATTTACATTTATAATTTGCATTTAATTGTACTTGCTCTTGTGTGGGGGTGATTGGCAAATTAGTCGCTCTAGATTCTAACAACAAAATACAGTTTTGTGCCCGACTTATAGACTAGGACGATGCCTGGAAGCCAATCGCTAGTGGATTGTATTGGTTTTACTCTTTTGATATCCATTTGCAACAACTTAAATGAGCTTCTATAAGCAGCTACAGCTACAAATGCAACAATAAATACACACAATATAATTAATAGAGTTTCCATTTCAATCGCACACGTTGCCTGCTGCCCTCATCCATTAACAATATTTCCTCCCTGACCCTGTCATCCTTCCTACGGGCTCTGCTTTTGCATCTGCCGGAAGCAGCCTCGGCACACCGGCACCGGCTTTCCACTGTCGTGTCCTGGCAGAGCCACATTCTTGTCTATGCAGCGCTCGCAAAAGATGTCCCCACAGCGCCAGCAATGTGTCTGTTCGGAGATTAAGAGTTTTATATAATTTGGCTGTTTGTTAGGTCTTTCTGATCCACCCACCTTTTTGCTGAACTGATCGAAGGGCGTGGAGCAGGAGCAGGTGGTCACATTGCGCATGGGCTTCCAGTCCACGGCCACGGAGTTGATTTCCTCGGGCAAGGCCTGCGGCGGACTGGATTGTTCGGCATTCAAGGAAAGATTGGCAAAGGACATGTTGCTGGCCTTCAGCGGATGATCATCATCGGCAGCCGACAGTTCGCTTAGCTTTTTGTCATAGTTGTATCTGCAGGGAAACGGAATTTAGTATATGCTAAGGATTATAATTTCAAGTCGATTCCCTTACTTGTTATCATTGATTTCGTTGCTGGAAACCTCCTTGCTAACCTTTGCCGTGGTGCTGGTGGCGTCCTGCAGTTTCTTGGCCGACTTAGAGATGTAGTTCTTGAAGCTGGCTATGCGCTTGGTCAGATGCTGTACGTGATCCTCCAGAGAGTTGCAGTGCTCCTTGCTGTCGAGCAGCAGGTCGCCCAGTGGCTCCCGCGGGTGGATGCCGCTCTCGAAGCGACCGTACATGCCACGCCAGAACCTGTTGGGAAGTGCACAAATTAAACAAGGTTTTTGTTGACCCAAAGCAATCCCGTACTTGATGCACTGCGGTGCCAGATTGGCCTTAATTGTGTCGTCCACATTGGGTTTGTACAGCGGATTAATATACTCGTTCAGGTGGTTGGCCATGAAGCCCCAAAGCGAGAAGGTGCGCTCGGCCAGCTTTAAGTCCAGGCGATCCTTCTCGCAGTTGCCCACAAAGGTGCCGAATTGACAAGAGTGCACATGATCGTGCAGGATCAGCAGGAATCGCTCGTTGAACTCGAAGGACTCGCTGCGCTGCGACATTAGCTGCCATGTGCAGTCCAGGAACTGTGTGAAGATCGGCGACACCTCGCGAGCGTCCGTCTGAATGTGCCCGCAACGCTCGCTAAACTTGTGCCCGAAGGCCAGCCAGTCCTTCTCGATTAGCGCCTGGAATCCCTTGATGGTCCGGTAGTAGGGGTTCAGCATGAGCTGGGCCAACGAGCAGACCTGGGCAGTTCGGTCCCAGCCGTCGGAGCAGTGGACCACCACCGAGACACCCTTGTCCACGGCGTTGGCGATGAAGCTACATGGTTAGAAACGAAATTGTTGGTTTAATTTAATTCTGAATCTGAGACAACCAACCATTTTCTGGTTTGCTGAATACATATTAATTTTCCTCACCTCGACGTGTCCAATATGGAGCGAATGTGCTTTAGCCAGCCGGATGACTCCAGGGCATTTAGGAAGGCGCTCATCGTGGGCGACTTCTGTTCGCAGGCCTCCAGGACTTTTTGCAGACTGGCGCGCTGGACGTGGATGTTCTCGATACCGAGGAAGTGGAATTTGATGTTCTCGTAGAAGGCCTCGTTCTCGTATCCCTTGCCGGCGGCTCTGTTGGCCATCGCATTAATCTGCAGACAGCGTAAATGGATTATTTGCATGTGCTAAGCCCCCGAGGGGATTCCCCTGTCACTCACCCGTGGTCGTGTGTCCACCACATACATGTAGTCCGTGTTGGAGTTCGTCTTGCGTATGGCCTCCAGCATTTGCTCATCCTCCAGACAGCGGGCACTGAATCCGGACAGCGGCTGACTGCAGCGGCAGATGGAGGCCTATATTAAAGATTCGTTTTAGTGGATATAAGGATTCTACATAGTTCATTTAAGCAATTTAAGCCCCACCTTGTTGTTGTGCAGATAGGTGAGCGCCGGG